GGCAACTAGAAGCAAATAATAAAGACAAAAAGGTAGAATTGTAGCCGTAGCCAAATTAAACAATAACGAAATTCGCCTTTAACTCGTCGTTATTCCTGGCTTAAATGATGGCCTAAATGATTCGGGACTGAGGGGGACTATCCCTCTTTGTCCTGCCTCATCGCTGTAGGCCTGAACAGCCTCGTAAAGGTGGGCCCTATCCGTCGTCGATACCGACGCTGGTGTAGGCGCTTTGCCCTGGCTGACCCCCGTCGGCAGGGGACCATTTGTCTCTTCTTTGCGTTCTTGATCCTGACTGTGCCTGAAACTTAAGGGGTTAGCGTGGAAGGGGGTAAGGGTGTTGGGACGGTCACCCCAGATTGAAAAATTGGTGCCTGGATCATTTGTGTTTGTCTGTCATGTTTGGTATGTAGTCAACGGCTTGTCTAAGTAGGGGGTTGTCATGTCTCGCGGCCGCGTCTAGTCGTATTTTGGCGTTCGTTATATTGTCTGGGTGTCGTTTGTGTATTGTAAGTCGCGTAGTACCTATGTCTGCGTTTCTTACATACCAAAGAAAAGCGGTGGTAATGCGTAGGGCTATGTTTTCCACAGCTTGAATTGATTTTAGATGGCTTTTTGCCACGTGTCCCCACGGCGCAGAGGTATAGGTTAGCTGCCGTTGAAGTACCACCATGATAAGCGTTCGCTCATTCCTTAGGCTGAGGGTGTTTCCACCCTTGAGTAAAGGATAGAGCTTAGCTTAGTGGTTCTTGCCCGCGCCACCGTCTCCACGACGTGCGGATTCCATGTAAGTCGCTGGTCCAGCGTTACGTCTAGGTATCGTGTCTGTCGGTCTCAGGAGACGGGCTTCCAAGACAGTGTCAGTATGTCAAGGTATTGGGGGATTTTACGTTTCGTAAAATGCTTTGCGGTACTTTTGTCGGAGTTGATTTTGACTTTCCACCTGTTGCACTAGGTTTCAACTTGGTCTAAAGAGTTATGGAGGAGGGTAGTGGTGCATCTTGCGTTTGTGGATTGTGCGGTTAGTCATGTCGTCGGCGTAAAGGTATATGTTTGTGTTTGGGGGGTGTGGTATGTCTGAGTTGTAGTGTAGAGGTGTGGGAATAGGACAGTCCTTGGGGGACACCCGCTTCCAAGGGACGGATTGTGGAGGAGTTTTGAAGTGTAGGGATATGTCTGAGTGTAGCCATGAGGCCCTTGAGTGGTAGCGTTTTTAGTGTCGTGTATCGCCTTCAACTAGTGCCAATATCCTTGGCAGAAAAAAGGCCTCGAATGGAACGGAGTCGAGCGGGATTGTCGCTATTTACCCACTTCATTGCTGTGGGCCTGGACGCCTCGTAGAGGTAGGTTCTTTCCCGTCATTCCGGACCGCCAACCCGGCCAGAGTTGATCAGTTCGTGGGGCCTCCTCCCGTCCTGGCTGGGCTTCGTCGCGCCGGCTAGGACTCTTCTGGCACTCTTCTTTCTTCGCCGGCTCGTCTGTGTAAACCCTCGGGGGTGTAGTGTATCGGTCGCAAATGCGGCCAGTCGTTTGCGACCGAGGGGTAGATTTTGGTGAGGTCGTGCAGTATGCAGTTTAGGAAACGCCAGATTGCGGTAAATGATTGAGAAGCTGAGACCAGAGAAAAGCCTTCGACGCGCTCGAAAAGCGGTTCCAAGGGCAGCATGAGGAGCTGCTGAGCTCCCTCAGAGAGCAACAGGCCCCCAAGGGGGTCAAGAGAGGAAAACCCGGCACCCCGTCGGGCTCGGAGGACAAACCCAACAAAGCCAAAAAGAAACATGTGAAGGCGACGTTGCCGCACAAAAACAAGCAACGAATACAGGCCGACAACGACGACAAATCTGAGAGCGACTTCCGCTGTGAAAGATAGGATAACTCCAGCCATCCTCACGAAGAAGGAGTAGTGGACGGAAGTCAGTAACAAGGTGGATAACAAAAACATCGAGTTTACCATGGCCAACTTGACGGGTGAATGCATCGCCATTCATCCACAAACGCCCGAAGATTATCGGCGCCTTTCACGAACTCTTGCGGACGAGGGCAAAGAATTTCACAGTTTCTCCCTACCAAGTGAGCGGACGTTGAAGGCGATAACAGAGGGGTGCCAGATGGGATTTCCAACGATGAAATCCGATCTGATCTTCTGGAAGAGGGATTTAACGTTTCTTCTGTTTTCAGGATGACCAGCCTGTGGACCAAGGCCTCCATGCCTCTGGTGCTCGTTCAGGTCCTCTAGTAGCAGGAGGAGCTCCTGAAGGTGACAGTATGCTATCACCTTAGCGTCAGGGTCGAGCCTCAGCGAGCCAGAACTGAGTCAACACAGTGCCATCGCTGTCAGCGCTTCGATCACGTGCAGAGCCGTTGCACCGCAGCTGTCAAGTACATGAAGTGCGGCGAGGGTCATCACTCGGCACACTGCACTAAGAAGGGCGAGACCCTGACGAAATGCGGTGGCGAAAATGTGGATGTGGATTTGTTAAAATTTTAGGAAAAAGAAGGAAATTAATTAATATTTTCGAAACCGCTCGAGATATTTCAGTGATATTTAGTACGTAGCGATAGTTAATAAAGGCGCATGTTTTTCAATACAAACATAATTTTTGTATATTTTTCGCGGTGGTCCTCAAAAATGGACATCAAGGTCCCCCGTCCTCAATAGCTTAGTTTTCTTTTTATGGGGCCATCTTAAGACGCTAGTGTACACAAGTCCCATTAATACTATAGAGGAATTAAGAGAAATTATAATTGCAGCATGTAATAGAATAAAAAATACTCGAATGCGCAATTCCATGAGAAGGAATGCAGAAGCATGCATATTAAGTGAAGGTCATTTTCAACAATTTTTGTAATAATAGTTTGATTTTAGTTGTAATGTTATGTTAATGTTGTATGTTGTTAATTGTTGTTGTTCATTACAAGCAGGTGCCAACCTGTAATGTATTTAATTTTTGCTATTAAATTATTAATAATTCTGTAATTTTTTTTACTCAAAAACGATGCATCGCAGGAAAAAACTCAAAAAGCTCATATTTCTCGAATTGAACGGGGATTTAAAAAATAATTTTATTTGGGCTTACCAATTTTTTTTCTTTAAAAATATTTAAGTCAATGCTTGTTCGCATGCCACTGTTAGAGCTAAAAATTATGTTTGTATTGAAAAACTTACCCCTTTATTAACTATCACTGTTTAGGCCATATTAAACAGATTTAAATGATTTCTTTAATTATTTTATATCCTTTGTCACAGATGGCGTACCATGTACAATTTTTTAAATAAAACTGTTCCTTTTTATTTTCTTTTTTGGTATGTGTGCAAAAAAACTCTGATAAAACATAGTATAGTATAAAACCGCGTTCATTAGTAGATTTTTACAAATTGAAATTTTAGAAAAGTTACGTGATTATAGATATTAAATTATAGAATTACCGCATCACTATTTAGTGACTCGTATTCATATTACATGACCTATCTTTCCTTCCTTATCTCCATACTAATACGACAACAGTGAAAGTGCACCATTTTCCTCCACTGGCAAGTGACCAAAGCATTTACAAACCTTTAATTTATTTAATTCAGTCCACTCTAGCAATTTTTCATACAATCACTACGTACTAAATATCACTGAAGTATCTCAAGCGGTTTCGAAAATATTAATTAAATTCCTTCTTTTTCTTCAAATTTTAACACCCCGTATTTTTACAACGGAACATTTTTGGACCATAGTTTATAAAGCAAACTAACATTAATTTTCCAAGTAGAATCACACCCTTAAATATTCGCATATCAAGGAATACCCTGTATAATGTTGCTAAAGCTTTTTGCGGTTCGCTAGATTCTTCAAAGTTAACTCGAATGCGTCTAAATCTACTGGACTACAACATTGAAATATGATACAAACCGGAACAAATACAGATGCTTTACCACTTATAAAGTTTGATAGAGATATGCTAAAAGCAATGATGCCTACAAGAGTTGTAATTACACGAATAATCACAAATAAATGAGATAATAAATAAACTTTTCAGCTAATGTTGTTATTGTTGTTGGGAATTTGGGGAGTTATCTCTCTAAACGAAATGAACAAACTGACCGTTAATAAAATGGGTGCAGGATGAATATAATGTATTATATAATTAATAAAAATCAGCATTAAAAATGTCATCACCAAACAAAGTGGATGATATCGATCTTCAAAATGAGGTCATAAAGAATATCACATTTCAGTAATAGTCACACTAGTGTCAAATGAACTACCTATTAACAAACTAAAGCAAAAATATACTTGGAAAATTAAGTCAGAATTGGTAAAAAGCACGCATTAGGTTCTAAAAGAATAATAAAAGTAAAAGTTTTAGGCATGCCATTGAACCATTTGTAATTATTGAAACTAATTTTTATAATAATAATTTAGGTAGTCATGTTAAAAAGAGGTCAAAAACAAAAATTGTAACCTCGACACTCTGCAGTTCTTATAAAATAAACCCGTAACTATAATAATAGATTAATTAAATATAGAGAATACTAAAATAGAATTTAATTTACATTCTATTTTGTATTGTTGTCATAAAAAGGGATTATATTACATAGAAGTATCATATTCTATTAATATAATTAGCAACATACAATGATTTAATTGTAAATAGATTGAAAGTTTTATTTTGTAAACAGGGAATGTGTACTGCCATTAATCTTCATTTGCATCAAAAAAATATTGCGGTCAAAAACCTACTTATATCCGGCCGACCTGTGAATGGCAATGCACTTTCATCCTAAGAAATTTTACGTGTTAATGAATTATTAGAATAATAAAAGCGTTTAGCATGAACTGTCTTTCAGTTAACATCAACTTTACCCCAACACCAAAATTTAAAACTACTGCTGAGCTTGTTATAAAAGATTTCTTATTTTTTCATGTGCTAGGTACTAATTTTTATAAAGTTACTCAGGTAAACTGATGATCTAAGTAGTAAGGTTAAAAAATAGAAACATTTTTATTTTTACAGGTTCTATTGAAATATATAAAAGTAGTAATTCAAGTGGTATTTTACATTTCTTCCTTAATATCATTAAATACCAAGAATAAGCCTATACATATAATTTCTACTTATGTTGCTCCATCTGAGCCTGATCAGTTACAGTTAAAAATGCAACTTGTTGTTCCAAGAACTCAATCCTCTTTTTCAACTGTTCGTTTTCTTCCATTAGGTAATTATTTTCAGCATGTCTAGGAGAATCAGTAGTTAAATCATCCCTAATGCTGTTGCAAAAATTTTCTACTTTAATAAACTCCCTCACCATTGCCATTTGAAAGTCTAAGAGCATCCTCTTAATCTGGTAAGTAGTATGAGTTGCTTGGAATTTTATGTCAGTTCTTATTTCCTCTAAAGTTGCTTTCACATCCTCTTTAACTGTTTCTTTAATAACAGTTTGTACATCGGATAAAGTCAAATTTGCATAACCCTGATTTACGGTATAAGATGGAGATCTTATGTTTTTAAAATTTTGTGGAAAGAATTTTGGTGTGGACGACATTTGGATTTGTTTAGAGTCTACTAGACCTATCTTGTCATGAGTACTTTTCTGAGCGGAATTATTCTTATCCTCGGGCCATTTTTTGGTACTTTCGGTAGAAACATCTTGTTGAAATGATTCTAATGTATTATTTTTGTCCAATCCCAAAGCAGCAAAAAAGGAATCTCCTGCTTCCATGGAATTTCCGGAAGTTTTTATACTTTCTACCATTTCATTAGAGGGAATTTGAATAAACATGCCAAAAATATCGCTGTCGCAATTACTGGGCTCCTCTAAGGTTTGGATAGGAACTATACTGTCATCTGAAATACTACTCGAGCTTGCACTTTTTGAATCTAAGCTTCTTTGGAAAATTAAGTGTTTCACCGCACTAGTATGACCAGAGAATGAATGTACTGGTTCTTGAATGTTTCTAGAGTCGTATATATATACTCTTCCATTTTGTGATCCCATTACAAAGTAAGTACCCTCAGGAGAAAAATCCACAGCTGTAATGTTGTTTTCTACTGGAACGCTGGCAATACGCTTACTATCTATTATGTCATAGAAACAGAACTGACGATCCGATCCAGTTGATACCACTAAGTCAGAATTTACAGGAGAAAAAGCTACAGATGTTACTGGAGCTTTATGAGCTTCCATTGTAAATTTTACTTTATTAACATTACTATCCCAAACAACTACTATACCTTCATTGCTCCCTCCTATAATGAGATTTCTCTTAAACCGATTTGCTCTCAAACTAGTTACAGATCTAGATTTAGGTACTCTGAGTGTACAAGAAAGATTGTTTGTTGTGTTACTGAAGAGTAAAATATCACCATTTGTACAACCAGCAACGCAATGAGTGTCTTTGGCAGTAAAGTCAACATGGGATATTAAACTAGAAGCCCTTGGAAATCTCTTTGTTGTATTCTTCATTTTAATATCATAAATAAATACCTGTCCTCCTTTAGTACCCAGAGCAATAAGTTTCTTTGTAGAGTTTAGAAAGGCGACACAAGATGGCTCATCGACATCTTGGATTGTTCTGATAAGTTTCAATTGGTCTTTTACGCTCACAACATCGGCGTGGCCGGAAAATGGGACCAAAGATAGCCAGTTCCCATCTCTGCTCCACGATATGCTACGTATGGGTCCTTCCACCTTGTTACCAGGTTGGTAGTGATGCATAACATTTCCATTGGGGAATTCATGAAATTTCACAGTAGTAGAAGCCGAAGCGACAAACATTTTCCTGCAATTAAAAAATAGATCTGATTTCTACAATATAACAATATCTAGAGTAATAACAAATAACATGAAAATATAAATTATAGTAATTTTATAATCATTTGTAGGATAAAATTTAATGAGTTTTTTAGATTATTGTTATTTAGTTTAGGCAATTTTAGTTTATACATACAGTGTGTTTCACCACCTCTGTATTTAGGATGGCGTTGGCCGATTCCCAAAATTCATTTTTTATGTGATAGTATTCAGAAAGACCTACTTTTTGATATTATATTTTTTGATATGTGATCTTTTCTACGACCTACTATCAGTAAGAAAAGACACTGAAAAATTCAAAAAACATATTAGGCATTTTTTTAAGAAAGAAATAGATAGCATTTTCGATTTGATCACCTCAAAACCCTAAATACAAACGTTCATTATTATAGCTTTTACAGGGTGTTCACAAAATCGGTGCAAACTTCGAAAAATTTCACTCATTGCAGAGTGTCCTGTATTAACAATGGAAAATATTTTCAAGGTATTTTTCCATAATTTTAGTAATGAGGTTTCATTGATTTCACTCATACAGGTTTTTATTATACCAAAAATGCATGAGTTTTACTGTTTTCTATTAGCCCATTATCATTTGGTATGCACTGATCAATTCGTCTCCTCTTATTTCTAATAACGCTCCTCAACTGATGTGGTCTTCGACATGCTTGTCTAATTCTATTATATAAATTTTAATTAAAAAAATTAATGTGTTTTGTGGGATTTTATATGATAGAATAATCGGGCCCTTTTTTTAACGTTAATCTAAACGTAGATTTTTTTGAATTTTTTAATAATGATTGCTGGCATTCAGCACTTCCTCTTCTTATAAGACAGAACTTCTACCTTCAACTAGATGGAACACCTATTTATAATGCGGTAGTACGTTATTGGTTGAATGAGAATTTCCCGAGAAAGTGGATAGGTCGCAACAATCTGTTAGATGAGTGGCCGTCAAGAGCTCTACACTTGACGCCTCTTGATTTATTTTTAAAACAAGCCCCAGAACAGAGAAGATTTATGTAATAGAATTAGACAATCATGTCGACAAATACCACCACATCAGTTGAGGAGAGTTATTAGAAATAAGAGGAGACGAATTGACAGTGCATACTAAATAATGGTGGACTAATAGAAAAGAGTAATATTTAATTTAATAGTTTTGTAACGTACAGCCAAAACGGTGATAGATACAAAAAATCTGATATCGGTTCCGTCCTCTTTTTTTGAGTTTACTTCGCTGGTACCAAAAGATCTTGGCTAACTTGATTAGTTTTAGATATTCAGGCTTTTTTGAAAAATCTCCGTTGTTATTAAATTTAGAAGAAAAAAATTTGAACATTATTTGTTCTATTTTTTAGGAGGAAGCCATTGGCGCACTCAGATTTTTTACAAATCGCACAGTTTTTCCGATTTTATACCGGGTGTCTCATTTTAAAAAATACACGTGAATATCTCTTAAGTTAAGGGCTTAATGAAAACATTTTTCAAATAAAAGTTGTAGGGTTTTGAGGGTGACCTTGACCATGACCTTCGAGGTCATTTGAAGTCATTTTAGTTTTTGTTGCAAAATTCTACTTTTGAGACCAGAAATGAGAAGAGCGGCCCATTTCACGTCCATCTATGACATTGACCTTGACGGTCATTTCAAGGTCAAGTTAATTTAATTTTTCAAATAGAAACCGGTATCTTTCAGATCAAAATAGAAAGTACGGAGAATTTTGCTTCCGAATATAACCTTGATCATGACCTTATGTTTCAAAAGTCATTTGAAGGTCGTTCTAGTATTTTGCAGGCAAAACTTTAATCTTGTTCATATTTTTCGTTTTGATATGTGGGGCTCGCCATAATTTTCTAGAATACCCATTAACCCTTTGCGGCATGCATTTGTTATTCAAATGTTTTTGAACTCGGACTAGCTCAGAATTTAGTAATAGTTAAATCTGATACGGCGGATCCAATATGTCGAATACTCGGCTCGACCTTGAGTTTTAACGTAGGTTGAAGTGTTAATCCATATGATTATTAAATATGTTTACCAAAAATTGGTCGGCCATATTGGATTCGAATATTTTCAAATTTTGACTTCATATTCGCCCTCGAAAACCCCCCGAGTACACTATTCGGCAAGACGAAAATGAATTTTGCAACAAAAACTAAAATGACCTTCAAATGTCCTTGAAGGGCATGATCAAGGTCATAGTCGAATATAAAATTTTCTGCTCTTTTCATTTCTAGTGTCATAAATATGTGTTTCCATTTGAAAAAATCAACTTGACCTTGAAATGACCTTGAAGGTCATGGTTAAGGTCACCATTAGATGTCCCCCTCAAAACCATACAACTTTTAAATTTTTTCATTAAGCTCTTAACTTACGAGATATTCACGTGTATTTTTTTAAATGGGACACCCAACATAAACATAGGTTATTTTAAATAGAACACCTTTCAAAATTTATAGAACCAAGCTTTCAATCAGTCAAAAATAAATTAACTGTCAAGATTAAACGACAAAAGACGAATACTAAATAAATCACATGGCCAATTGAAAAAATACCTATACATTTTTTGCATTTTTCTTCATATAGGCAAATACAAATCTATTATCTATTATTATACAGGGTGGTCCGAATTTTATGAAAGAAACTTCGAGGGCATAGATCTCTTTAAAATAGTAGGTGTTTGCCTTATAAACATAGGTCTGAAACCGCCTCGTTTTAGAGTTACAGCTGTTGAAGTTGTTAAAAAAAATTGATTTTTTGCTTATGTCTCCGGAATCTATTAACCGATTTCAATAAAATTTAGTACAGATAATATATGATAGTAGGCCTTGTATTCCCTAAAATATGAACTCTAAAGGTTCAATCAGTGGTGTACAACTGGACAGGGTCACCCTCTTTTTTATAAAAAAAACCTACGCCACTGTATTTTTTACATGCTATTGGACGGATTTATATTCTATTGCACAAAATATGTAAAAAAGGTAACTTAGATTTTTTCCCTAAGATTCACCATTTTCAAGTTATTCATACTAACACAATCCCCTTAGAGCAGACGCTTCTAACCATAATATTATAAGAATATTTCTTAGTTTATACTTAAAACTAAGTGTAATTTGTAAGCATATCAACAAAATTCTTTACACTCGTCGCTTTCATCTCTTTGGATTAAAACGATATTTGGAAAATTACGACGGAGCAATGAAAGGCACAGAAATGAAATTTAAAGAGCATTTGACGACGATCCTCGGCTAAGTACACGAAAAACGTCTCGGCAACTTGGGGTGAGTAAATCGAAAATTTGAAAAGTTCTACATAAGGATGGCAGCAATCCGTACCATTTACAACCTGTGCAAAATTTACTTCCGAGAGGTTATTAGAATTCTTACTAGAAATACTTTGGACTGATGAGGCTGCGTTCACAAGGCGAGGGGTAGTGAATTTTCACAATTTGCATATTTGGTCACAAGAAAATCCTTATGGAATTCGGACAAGATCTTTTCTGTGAAAGTATGGCTCGGAATAATTCGCAATAAAGTATGTGGACCTTTCTTCTTGCCACCCCATTTAAATTCCCAGTCATTTATAAACTTTCTAGAAAACCATCTATTTGAATTATTAGAGGATGTTCCATTAAATATACGACAAAATAGCTGGATACAAATAGATGGTGCTCCTTGAGGGGAATAATACAAGAATGGCTTAATGAAAATTATATGGAGTGATAAATTGGCAGAAGACCAAATGCCTATGTCAACCATAATGGTGGGGAGGATCCAGTGTCTTGGCCAGCCAGATCGCCAGATCAAAACCCTCTGGATTTCTATGTTTGGGGTTACCTATCTGAAAAGTAAAGTTTACTCTACTCCAATAGATACTAGACTACAACTACTGTAGCGAATAGAAAACAGGTGTAATGAATTAAAATAAAACCACCACATGTCATTAGATTTAATTAGTTCTATTAATAGAAGATGTCAGAAGATGTGGATGGTTCGCATTTTAAACAATTGCTGTAAATACGTAACGTTAATTTTGTTTCTTGTTTAGTTGTTGTTGCTTGGTAAATGTATTTTATTATTAATTTGATAAATTGTTCTTCTCCTAAAGATTAGGCCTCCAGGGGAAACTAAAACACACCAGGAACACTACCTCACAGGTGATATGGAAAGAATTTTGTTAAATTGCTTATAAATTGCACTTACTTTTAAGCATAAACATAAATATGCTTGTAATATTATGGTTTGAAGTGTCCACCACAAGGGGATTGTATTGATATGAATAACTTGAAAATGGTGAATCTTAGGGAAAAAATCTAAGTTAGCTTTTTTACGTATTTAGTGCATTAGAATATAAATCCGTTACAATAACTTGTAAAAAATACAGTGGCGTAGGTTTTTTTTTATAAAAAGGGGGCGACCCCTGTCCAGTTGTACACCACTGGTTGAATCTTTAGGGCTCATATTTTAGGGAATACAAGGTCTACTGTGATACATTATCTGTACCAAATTTTATTGAGATCGGTTAATAGATTCCGGAGATACAAATAAAAAATCAATTCTATTTTAACAACTTCAACACCCTGTATCTCTAAAACGAGGCTGTTCCAGACCTACGGCAAGTCTTCAAGGTTATATCTTCATAACTTTTGCGTATCCTAGTTTTATATAATTTGATTAAGTTTTCTTGAATCTGCAATCAATTCTGAACAAAAAATGTGGTCTTGTTTCATAGCTCAAAAATGAACCGTTTTCGAGTAAATTGGGTATAAATTATCGACTGCATTAATTCGTAGAAAAATGCATGTAAAGATTTTATTTGTTGTTATCTAGTAGTTATACAAAACAAAGTTGTTTACCGTTTCCCATGTAGCTGCGGCTCAATGAATATGAACAAACTAAAAAAATTTTCTATTAATTATTTAATATTTGGTTACGTATAGGGGAACTAAATATAAAATTAAAAATTATGTA